CAGCGAACACTTATATTGCCCGTTAAATGTTTCTTCGTCGAAAAATAAATGTAGCTTGTACATAGTATTGCAATAAAGGTAAATTCCTCATGGTTGGCCGGCCAAGATCACCCATTACCTCTTCACGACTATTTCGCAATTTCTCTATTCTCATGGCTGGATGCGTGCAGTCCTGTTTTTCCATATCAGTTAGATTAGGCAACCATTAAGCTTTGAACCCTATGCACGCTCAATTAAGGTTTCATTTAATACTACAACCTAAGGTTCACTGTTTACTAAAATTCGATTATTAGAATTATGTTGTCCTACGGTTGATTGCTTAGCACGCTACTCTTCACGATATTTGTTCTCAGTGCTGAATTTATTAAGAATGTATTTGTGTGAGAAAGCATGCATGCGCACTCGCGAAACTGAATCAAGGATATATAATACCTGAACTTTTTATCCGGGTATTATATGTATTTCGTCTTAACTGATTCCATTGTCTAGCAGTGTTTTTAGCTTTGACTTGGCGCAAGAACGAAAGTACTTATATCCGATGTAGTTTCTATGCTGAAGGCGGCTATGATAACCAATGTAGATGGCAGAGTTTTATGAAGCAAAATTTACTTATCATTGGGCAACGCGGAAAACAACCATTGGTATAAACGAATTATAGTGTATTTCTGCCAAACACTTCTCTATCTTGTGATCTAAAAGGGGTTGACGAATTGGCTTTTAAGAAAATAGCGAAAAAAACCAAAGTTTTTAGCGTTTATAACCATACAAAGCGGCGGTCTATATCCCAAAATTGTTTCAATATTACATCGACTTCACCTCAAGCACCGATGCAGAAGCGGGGAGAGAAACAAACGCGAATTTAATAATTGCACACACGTAGTGCCATCGGTCGCACCGAAAGCACTATATGTGTGTATGTTTATAAATTAGACAAAAAAAGCGTGTTTTTTTAAGCATAACTGACTCCATGTGGGTATCAAGATAACTGGATAACAGGGATTTTTAAACTATGCAAGGCAGCATGTCAATTTGTCATACTCGCGTAGCGCAGTGCTTCTGATAACATTGTTTATCTGTCATAGATACCATACAGGCGACACATTACTGTTGTAGTAATTTTTTTTTGCAGTAAAACAGATTTTTCCAACGTTACAATAACAATCAGAAAAATAGACCAAAACATAACAAAGGGATAACAACTGTTCGTCTGTAACGTAATCCTCGTAATATACGACTTAGTAAAGGGTTATATCTGACTATTGGAAGCCTATTTTGTCTAGTCATTATAGTTAAAATATAAAAAACTGAACCGATCAGACAGACGGAAACGCAGAGTTGGTGGCATCTCATATGTACTGAATTGTTTTCTATATGTATTTGTTATATATATGCTAATACTGCTTATATATATCGCGTCCTCAAAGAATGAAAAGGAAATCATATCATAATGTGTTTTCTAGATCAATCTTCTAAATTGAATAGAATAATGTACTGTGGTGTAAATTATTTTTCCCTTGTTTTATTTTACTCAGTTTGTCAGTGTCGATATCTCTTCTACGGAAGGCAATTTCCGTCTGGCTTAATCTTTTTCTGGATGAGGCTGCGACATATTACGATTTTTAATGTCGGTTGCAGAGGTACCACAGAAGTGCCCTATTCTCGAGGCAAAAACTCAGAAGTGAGGTAGCGTGTTTCTAAACGGAGTTCACACACTGACTTCTAACGAAAGGTAAAAGTCGATTGACGATAGTGATTTTGTGTAAAAAGGTAGGTCGCTTAATAGAGCTACAAGCGAATTTTTTCCCAAAGTGCTGTGATCCTCGTATCAAAGATAGTGCTTTATGACCAACCAAGCGAGCTAGGCTAAAGGTGTCATATCATACACTTAGTTTTTATTTAAATGAGATAGTAAGTTTCCGTGCTGAATTTAAAACGTTACATTTTTTATTTCTGTGGCAGTAAGTTATGCCATGTATCCCCCGTTATAATTCACGATTTTTCTCGTCTTTTCATCAAATGCCGTCTTGCCAGCAGATAGCGAGCTTCGCTTTGCAGAATTTTCAAACCACGTTTAAAGTCGCTGCTCCGTGTTGAAAGCCAGAGAGATAATTGGTCCGTGAGTGGAAAACGTAAAGCCTGTCGGCGCAAGATCTGAAAAATATGGAGAAGCCAACAGAAGCAGTCATTCGAGGTCCAACAGGGCAATTTGAATGATGTTTGCTGTGTGCGGCCTCGAATTGTCGAAGGCAAGATTATTTATTGAGCCTTTTGTCCGGAATAAGTTGGTTAGGTTGGTATAACTGGCCGAAATAAATGTCCAGATCAACTGCCTAGCTTGTGCGAAGCAATTCCAATGGATCAGGTCCTTGCACTGTACACAATCTTTTTTGCCTAGGCCTTGACTTTGTCCTTTTCCGTTATACTGATATATAAGCGCTACTTCCCATCGGTGGCGACAAATCTGCGCAAACAATCGGTTAGTGTGGCGGAGTGACGCTCGATACTGACACAGATGTTGAGATATAGCCCTAAACTGCAATTGTTTGTTGGATCCACAGGGTTCATGAGGTTCAAGCCTTCAGTATAAACCGAAGGGGCTTGAAGTTGTTAACCACGGTTCTGCCGATCGTTTCGGCTAATTATCGAATTATTTGTCAGCCATCTTTTTTCAAAAAGGCCTTCAGATGCTCGTCATTAAACTGAGACGGTTGGTTAGAGTTGATGGATCCCTTAGAACCAAAATATTATCTTTAAATCTGCCAAACCACTTTTCAGAATACTTTCTCCGCTAGCCCCTTACTATAAACAAGGCAAATGTCTCGAGCTGTTTCAGTAATCTTTTACCTCGATGAAATGCCTAATACAGAAAGCGTAGAAAATTCACTTTTTTTTAAAAATTTGAAATATCAATTTTTAAGCAGTTTCCTGAAATTAGGATTGCACTGGCGATACAAAATCGTTACGGTACGCGATATAGCAGAAGTAAACGATAAGTGAAAAGAGCTTTAAAAGACTGCAGAAGCACATTGCCTAAACTGCTAGTTCAGTTTAAAAAAAAAAACTGCGTGTCGGTCTCTAATTAAATCCTATCTTAAACTATCGGGGTTTAAACTTCAGTAATTACTAGGAGCTATTCATGGACATCTGACTATAATTGTCTCTTTCCATGTAGTTATAGCTAAAAAGTCTACGAAAATGTTTGCTGAAAAATGGTATTTGCCTATGGAGCTTTAGTTGGCTACGATCAATATTCTCTAAAATGAGAGTTGGAAGCTTCTTCCCTTATAGTTTTAGTTTACGTCTAATGGTGATAAGTATCTTCAAACTATGCAGATCCCTAAGGGGGATCCGACCCACTTCTTATTTAGACAAAAGTATGTTCAGCGTAGTAGCAGAGAGTAGTAATAACCAATAAATTTAAAATATATGTATGTAAACATTTAATTATACACATAATCCAGTCGATTTTTCTAAGTATTGAAAAGCCGAAAGGATTTTATTTTAAAAGAGAAAGATAGCGGCACAATCTCAAAACGCAATAGCTACTTGATGACAATGCAACACAATATGAACTTTTGAAATTACAATAAAGATGGTGAACTCAATATTACGCAGAAATAACAATTTCACTTTTCTTTGCGTAAGCCCGACGTAATTATAGTTATTTCGATGCACTGGGAAAGCCTTTTGTCGTCATCCATGATGCTAACCAATGCAGTCGATAAGTTAAATATGGCTCATACGCTCACCTCTAATATTAACTGTACTTTGCAAACTATAAAATGGACTACTATTGACTTGACCGAAAGATATTTGTTTTCACTTGCTTATTCCAAAAGGTGTAAATATTTAAAGACGTGCAAGTTTAACTCGAGTACTCTAATACTTCGAGTGAGCGTTCGAAGAACACGTGAGGAATATATGACTAAAAGCTTTAACAGCTGTTACATGGCACGCAAATATTCTGCGACTGTTTTTAATAATGGCGCTTTTGCTGTTCCCATTCGAAATGTTGTGGCATATCGCACTGTAGCATGTACAAAGGCTGTGATGTTTATCTTCCTCAGTAAGGGAAAACAATTGCATCGAAGCTATCTTCATAAAGGCATGCAGAATGTTTTGACTAATTGAAAAAGAAAATGCATTCAAAAATTACCGCCAAAAAAGAAAGGGAATTAATGAAACATTCGAATTGCTGAGACGAGCTTTTATGTGGATATGATTAGTATAATCCCTACGAGGCTAACTTTGTTGAAACTCGATCCGTGACTCCTCGTGAAAACGCCTAATTCTGTTGCTGCCTCGCACTTTCTATCATACGGACATACTAACATATATTGTTAACGCTGCTTATGTACTAAAAATTCGATATAATGCTAAATCTTCTGAACGCACCAAAACTGGTATGGCAAAATAGAACAGCGAAAAATGTGTTTCCCACAAAAAATTTATTGAACAGCGACCGCCATGGATGATAAGCTCGCTAGGATATTTTAGCTGTTCTCTTAGCTTTGTTTAAAAGAAGTAACCAATTCCGTTCAAGCGACCTACCGACTCTTGTCTTAAAAATTTAATTGAGTTTAGTTTTTAGATAATAAACATCGCTATCTTTTTAACTGCACAAAACTTTTTAGTGGTAGTCGGCTAAAAGTACACACTGGGCTGCCTGAGTTAAACTTCCACCGAGGCATAGTTGTTGCATTCGGCATTCACCTGCTTAACAGTCAACGAAGAGATTGAAATGAATGGCTGTTACCCTTTGAATTGCACTAAGCGTCCAGGAAGGCACACAACACGCACGGACCACAATGAGGTTATTAACAAAGCTGTCTCCCTTCATTCGGACAGGAACACCAGCTATCAAAGCATCAAGAGGACCCGGATGTATAGACGATAAGAGGTCGGCTGAGTTACTCTAACGCTGTGTTTCCGCAGGAAAAGCTGGGCTTAGGGCACTCCAATATTATGTGCAGCGGCCGTTTGATACTTGCAGCATTGAGCACGTAAACCACGACGCGTAACGGAGCATGCACATTTGAAAGAAAAGCGAAGATACGCCGATCTGTGGAATCGGTATGATTTTCTTCTTATTGTCACTAAGTCCATGGATTCTGTCAGTAGAAATACAGCCTAATTTCTTAAAGGTCCTGCAAAACTACCTCTAATATTGGCCGCAGAAATTATTTTCTGTTGCTACTTGGCATTCTTAATTACTCAATCTTCACTTAACATCAATAAAATAGAAAATAAATGTATCAGTGATGTCAGTTCTCAGTCAGTGACAACTGACTCCGTATTGGCACTGATACATTTACTGGTACCGAGCGCGCGGCACGCACTAAGTAGAGCTCGATGCGTCTTCATTGAGACAGCCTTTGCTTTCGCGCTGTTCAACTGTTTTTCGCTCTTTTACTGCTGAACCCTAGTAAACACCAAAAAAGATACATTAGCGATTAGCGCTTTTAATGATCTCAAAGTAGTGGTAATCCGTCAATCCTGACATTTCGCCAACTGATGAAGCACACACGTCACATTAAATGATCCGATTTTTTCGTGGACGTGTTAATTTCCAAACAAATCCGAGTTTGGAAGTTCCGGTACTGCAGTACAAAGCATACTTCGAATAGGAGAAACTGCGGGCATCTACGAAGGCTTTTTCGCTCTCTGCCGCTAAATAAACTAGCAATAATTCCTTCGGTGACCGGTACTTCTGAAAAATCGCAATTAGGATTAGTTCTGAAAATTATCAAACAGATACAGTGTCGCATCTTGGTATGTGTGAATTGAAGTACACGTGGCATATCATCGAAATTATCGATGTCCTTTCAAGATGAAGTAGGTTTAGTCAAAAGTAAATGAAACAAAAATGTTTAGAGTTAAACCTCATTCGATTATTTGTACGAATCAACTTTCATTGTCACCGTAGAGAAAGCCGGCTCATGAGAATGATTTAATTTACAGTAAGATATATCATGGCCATCGCAAATACCTGTCTGTTGTTTATGCCCTACATTAACAAAATTACTGTTTAAATCGTTGTCCATATTATTATCTGCGGTTTGTCTAGCGTGCAGATTTGACTTGAATGTACTGCTAGTCGCTAGTTTGGCGGCAGCAGTGTCCAATCGATAACAAACTACTTCAACAATTTAGCTAAAACAGAAAGAAGTCCAAGCGACTCGGTCAGCTTTCTGACACAACAGCATCATTATCGCGTGCGAGTGTATACTTGATGCCACTTCATTCTTTGGGCAGTTGTTCCCTGAAATTTTCAGCCGATTGCTCTTTGGAAGTATCCCATAATTTGGTCGCCGCTGTAGATTGTTGGCGTTTGCACGAAAGTCACTTAAAAAGACTGCGCAATTCGTCTAAAAGTTAGCGGCGCAACGACTTGCCTGGTATTTTGTGTAGATAGCAGACGATCTTGTCATTTTTCCTACTGGTCTATCGCCGCCATCATGGACAGACTGCAGTACATCTCTTCGCCGCTTGCACAGATGGTAACAGTTTTCCCCACTCAGAAAAGCTACATTCAACTGTTGTGAGTTGGGGTAAGGAGGCGAGCGTATATTATCAAACTGCGGGCGTGACTATGGAAGATACTCATAACAAACCCTAGACCCGGTCGTTGCCATTTGAACGGATACGTTTGAAAAGACTGCACTGACTCAATGGTCCGCTTCTGAATCATAATTGTTTAAAATAAATAGAAAGCTAACTTAAGTTTTTTTACCATTGCGACAAAGACGCTAGTTGATTTGCATAAATTATAATATTGGAGTACTAAATTAACCACAGCGAGCAGTTACAATTGTAATCGAATGAAATGGTATGAGTATATACATGTATACGTACAGACATATAATAAGTAGTGTAAAACGTTTTGGTTATAAAAGGAAAGAAGACGCTAGTGCGGCGAAGAACGGTCCGTGCAGAACAGTGAACGTTATCCACATTTGTGGTGAGCACAGTATGGCCAAAGCATCAATGAAAGGGTCATTTCTACTAGTAGTTGCTCAGGCAACTTTGACAGTCACAGTTCATAGTCAACGCTGTGCATTCACCGGACACTGCTTTTTTGATCGCAGCGTTGATAAGTCTATCCCGTGCGCCGTGGATCAGCCGCCGAGTGAGACGCTACCGACAGGCCTCTGGGACGAGTTTCTGGTGCGTTCGTTCAAATACGCTATACGCGCAAATAAGACATTCTGATCACATACAACTAACATTGTCTTGTTTTGTTTTTACTTAGCACATTAAAAACGATTTTGATCGAGTTGTGTTTGTACTAACAGTAGTGAAAAACGTAACGTAGATTTTCCTCACTTTCTTTTGATGTTTTTTTTTGGCTTAAATGTGTGGTTTCAAACCGAGCGTTTATGGTCCTATAGCTTGGAAGGCATATCTAGAAACGAGTGTTGCCTGAACCAACTGGCAACTTTTGCTACTTGCCAAAGGCGATAGTTGTAATTTGAAAATGAATCAGGTCAAACTGGAGGATACAGGTGAAATGTATTGCCTAAAAAAATTGGTATTGTGTATACTTGTAGGAACGTAAAAAAAACATGGTCCTTTAGCGTCCTTTAAAAGTATCCATTTATATGTATAGAAAAAATATGTAGAGATTTTCAGCAAGATGCAACAATATGTTAAAATATTACTCTACTGAATCAACAATTTATATGGGAAGGTGATATAATTGTCAAATAATTCATTGTAATTTGGAAAAGTAACGAAGAGTTCCTGTACTATTCCAGCGTTGTATTTGTCAACATAGGCTACAGAGGCGCCGTACTATTGTTTGTACATGCAATTACCTAAAGCTGTTGAAAAGTCTTTAGAAATATTTGTACTTGATCATAGTGTTTTGGCAATGTGACTACACAAACATACACATATCTAATTTGCTTTCTAAATCATCATAAGTATATAGGTTAGAATTCTAAGGCGATATTCATGAAATAAACAAACTTGTAATCACCTCTGTACCACAACTGTACCACTGCGACACAAGAGCACATCGTCGCTCCGTAAATAATATATGTCTGTGTGAGCATGATGTTCATGAGGGTAATGCTACAAACTTCAGATTTCTAAGGAAACTTAAATTTTTTGCGGCCAGTTTGAAACATTGATTAGAATTCGTTTAAACCTTTTTGCTATCATTATCAAAACTGTAAAGTATATATTTAGCCATTCCGTATAATGGCCGTATGCTTGATTTATGCAAATTGTCCACTGACAGCAACTGATGTCGGTTACCTTGCCCGCTTTAAATTTACACATCTTTATATTATTTAGTTTTAAAAGTCGTATTTTTTTTTCTTAGGTCTAACCAATGCTAACGTTGTATACAATTGATGACGATAGAAGCACGTACATTTTCTGATAGGGAATAAATAACGGAGTACTTGAAGCAGGGCCATGACTTATAATAAATGTAAGTAAATAGAGCGACTGGAACGCATTGGCGTGTCAGCTGAACTAAGTTAATTGAAGAACTATACGGGAAAAAAAGTGTAACTAATTAATTTGGTGATTTCAATAAGCGAATGGAGACCCCGTAGAAATGACTGAGCTGTAATTCTTCTAGTATAGTAAGGTGACCAAATTTACTCTGGGGAAAGTAACATAACAATTATGGGTAGTGTTCGCTGGCCTTGCATAGTATCCACCCTATTAAAAAAAGATAAACAAGTACTTTTTATTTTCTGAGTTTACGAGCATCAACAATAGAAGAATGTGACCGTGTACGGTACGTTTTGTCTTCACGAAATATCGTGTGCTGACAGCCACAGGACTCGTAGTTTTTGCCTTAACACAAGCCCACTCACGTTCGCCTGCTCCTAACAACAGAGCTATTTTTTTTTGTCTGCAACACACGACAATTTTGTGTTACGTGTGAACGTATGCAAATAGGATTTCTGCGACGATCTAGCGCCATCGATTAAAGACCACCAGCTTTGCTGCGATGCCGGCCAGTTTCAAACACTTAAGAAAGAAATGCGATCAGCAGAGGTGATTGGAATAAAGCGTTGTCCTGGGTGTTACCGCGCCTTCAAGAATCTCATGTGCCAAATGACTTGTTCACCAAAGCAGGCCGATTTCATAGTCGTCAATGCTACTAGGGTACGTAAAGCTATAAGAACACTTATTGTCGATTAACAAATCCTTGAAATGCATTTTCTGATTTCTGAGTTAAAAGTACGCTTCTGTAGAAAAGGTTTAAATAAATAATTCTGTAAATGAAATGTAAATTTTTTGTAAGTTTTGAAAGTCGCAGGTGGTAATATGGAGTCCACGAACTAATCACTGAATGTAAAAGGAAATGGACCTTAGACCCATACTGGTTTTACATGCTCTAGTCATTCGAAGACATCCTTGGAGTAATTATTTTAATTTTTTTTCGAGTCTTAAGCATTTAAGACTATTTCAGTCATAGAATTTCAGTAATCAGTTTCGTTTACTATTACATGAAACCTCTTTATATATTTATTGCGCTCACGCGTTAAATATCGAATGCATTTGCATGATTTTTCTTCAGATATGTTTTTATTTTTAGAACAGAAAATCGCGCTCGTATAATTTTTTATAACAATAATGCATAATGGGGCAGTCTCAAAATATCAAACGGTAACAATCATTCTTCTAGTTAAGTAAAACAGACTAAGCACCAGTGTAGTGAAGTATCATCGTTTGAGGTGATAAACCCAAATATCTGCAACCTCAACTGGATGAAATAAAGTAGATTTTTCTTTACTGAACCCTCAGGCAGATTATTTGTTACTGGAAATTAGTGAATGGTATTAATAATGAAGATAAGAAGAGGCGCTTTGGCGGAGAACTATAGGATCACATGTCACGTCCAGACGTAATCATATATTTCTTAGCGTTTTGTTTGGTTACGGAGTTAGAATTATGAAAATAGGTTTAACTAAGCTTCGATCTTGTCCTCATATGAACAATTTGACTAGTTTAAAGTGAAAAAAATTAGCATTTTTAGTGGATTTGGAAATACACATTGATGCATCTTTATTTTGGAAGATATGACCAGAACTAGCCAAACCGAGCTTCTAGTAGAAAGGCACCGTAAAAGGCGTTTCTCGTAATGAAATGCATACATCTTTTCCGTATATGCAGAAGCGTGAAGTCCCAGTGTTTCTATAATGATTTTCAATCCGCTTTTTTGGTAAATTTGCTAAGCGAACCCAAATTTAAACATGCTAAAGGATTATGCTAAACCTCGTGATTAGAGGATTTGGCATTTACTTCTGCATGTTCATTACATACTCCATTACTCAAGTTTTTTTCTATGTAAGTTTTTCTAACTTTGTCTACATCTATCTGCAATACCTACCTTAAGAGACGATGACAAAACGCTAGCGGAGATACGAACCAACCTATACCATTCAAATCTTCTGTTTTAGAATGATGATCGCGGAACTGGGCCGGCGCTTCAAGAAATCGTTTATGGCCTTGACAAGGAATTTGCAGATGCGCTCTTCAACACGTGTAACAAAGCCCGTTCCAACTTATACGTGAAACTTACCACTCTTATGTGTGGCCAGTATACGAATAGGTGCTCTGCGACTAAGTTTCTAAGCTTCCTTGGATCTACGGACACCGAAGGCGGTTACAGTCCATTCAGAATTCGTCATTTGCTTTTAAGTGATGCTAATCGCACACTTAAAGTTAAAAGTTATCTTGGAAGCGAAACAACATTGCACAGACAGCAATGGAAATTGCATAATACTTGTAAAATTGAAGATTCAACATAAACGCTTAATTCGCACTTCACTTGGATGTAATGCAGCGAGAATAAATATATCATTACATATATTCTGTTAAGTCTATTGGCTTTGATTAAAAGGTGAACGCGCTTATTACTGAATGAGTGATGCTTATTCCGTCCCCTTCCCCTCCAAAGATCACACTGAATCAAGATGAGCATACTAAGAATATCTTTTTAATGCAGAACTTCGCTGCAAACTATACTGGAACATGAACCAAAATAGCCACTGGACACTAATTCATTTTTTTTTATTTCATTTACTATGATCGTTACAATCCATAAAATTGCTCCAATGTAAAAAAAAATGCGCACTAAGCTACTTCTCCTGGAATCTTGCAACGGAAGTTCATTGTACTGTTTAATAGAATATTCTAAACAAAATAAATCTCAATTTGGCAACGTCTTATCATTTGATATTCTAGAAGGGAGTCAGGCACCACAAGATATACACGATTGTTACGCAAAGACACGAGGTTATAAAATGGCGTTCTGTAGACTCTGTAAGTCCTTGGGAAGTCTTCTCTACTAGGTCAAGGCTAATTTTCTTCTATTTTCTAGTTAAGGTGTATTTGAATGAAACACCGACAAGGCTAAACCCATATACACTGCAAATTCACAAAATATTATTAAAATACTTTGTGAATTTAAGGGGGAAATCTTTTTAAACACTTTGTCAGCGGTTTAGGTGCCGAATCAGGGTCATGACCGCAGTAAATGGATAGAAGACTGAATAGCCACATTCGTGAGGGATATTTCGGTCAGAACACGAAGAGCATTTAACTCAAATACTTTTTTTCATATAAAAAAAGATTTATGTGCACCTCGGTTAACGTCACTTCGCTCATTATTATACATTGGGAGGCAAATAGACACCAACTCAATTATATTAGAAATAATTATATTTCTACAATTAAAACTTTCTACTGGATTCCTTTTTTAACTGTGACTTTTAGTTAATCTTATATGTAGTTTAAAAATGGAATACCGAAATAATGAAGAAAAAACAAGTTCTCTTCTCATTATTACTTGGTTGATTTCTCGTAATAATAAGACTTGCAACTATAACAAACTTTTCCATAGCTGAAAACCGCTTGTCGTATTCTTACATACTCCTATGTACATTTTATATGCGCAGATCGTTTATAAAACAATTTTGAAAGCTAAGTATGGCCTCCTAAAATTTTTATTTTGTTAATAAAAAGGAATTTGCCTAAAGAATTATAGAAGGAAATTAGAAAGTTAATTTGTGCATGCGTATCTCAACTTGATATAAACTCATTTTCTTGTTATGATTCGTAAAAATTTATATTGGTTGCTTGATGTAGGCCTAGATATTGAAAAGCAATTAGCAACCGCGTCCTGCGTGCCCTTCACCCATTTTTTCAGACGTCTAAACTCCTAATTTTCGACAGTGTCACAGACTCGCGATGCCTACGCAGACTTCAGATTACCGACCAGAACAGAGTGCATCTTTTAAGCTAAAAATTTTGTTTATCTTGGAATTGATGAACCACTTTAGAACAGTCCTGCCAGTTACAAAATCCTCGCCGCACAACGAACAAATATTATAAGCTGCGTGGGGAGATTTTTCACATCGGTAAAAAGCGAAAGAGGATGGCAGTAAGTGTTAAAAAAACAACGAGGGTAAAGGAAAACCTTTCAAAGACGATATATATACATATATGACGGATCCGCAAGCTTTGCCCCGCGCCTTTTTTCCTATTGACTAATTTACTTAACATGATTCGTTCATGTTATTTTACGTGAACTATAGGTCGCATATACGTCAAGAGAGAGCCCGTTGCAATCACTCCTTCTCACCTAACCCATTACTCCTTTACAGTGGCACTTCAACCTGTTCGAATGCAAACAAATTCGATCCTGCCAGATATTTACATTTATTTGATTCAATAAATCTACGTAAGCAACGTTTGTCCTTCTTGTGCCGTTATCTTATAAAAGTGTTCTAACTTGTATTGTACCCAGGTTAACATAAACTATTGTTCGATCGCAGGTCTACAATACTGTAGGTTAAGATCTTCTTAAAGTCAGTTACAATAATCATATGCCATCTACCTTAGTGCTATAGTTATTCTGATAGAGACTTTACATAAGTGCACTGCACGCATCCTACTGCTAAAAAAAGCTAACTAAACTCGACAAAATGCCAAAATTGTACATTGGCCGTACAAGAAACGCCAATATTAAACTTTATTTAACTTAAGCTTCGTACACTTGTGTAACTATTCCAACTCTTCCATTATAATCTCGATATCCTGCTGCATTTATCTTGTCTGCGTATTTTAATTAATTAATTAAATTTGATGAATTTAATAACCTTATTTCCTAAAAAGTATTTATCCAACAGAAAAGTATGAACCACATGTCAACCATTCCACGTATTAATCAAACCAGCGATACACCCCTCTATGTGAGAAAAACGACGACCCGGAAAAATATTCATTGCATTAATAAATACGATTCATATGCCAATTAATAAATATGGTTCATATCTTATCAATTATGAATAATTTCGACAATCACAATTTTACTTTTTCGGTAGTAAAAATAAGTAAAATAAAAAAAAACAGTTGTCGAATAAATAATAGAGGTCAACCTGCGCAAATTACCATTACGCTCTATGGGCGAAAGAACCAAAAAATTCACACTCATAGAGTTTGATTTGTATTTCACTAGTTCCCAACCATTTCGGCAAAAATTATTATTTTACCACTAAATCACTAAAGGGTAAAATGCGAAAATCGCTTTAGCATATGCCGCTGACCTAGCGGCACTTGTCGTTAAGGCCGAGACGAAAGTCGAACTGGAACCTTCAGCGAGGTAACTAACATCAAACCCGACCTGACTCCGGAAAAGAACAAAGGTGTGTTACTATTCGGTCGAGTCATGGTTGAACCTTTCAATCCGTGGTGAAGAGTATGTACTGTGCGAGACATCTCAGTAAAGGGTTGAGAGGAAATGACTACATAAAGTGATAACCAAGGTTTGTAAGGCAGACAATGATATTGTTAGGATACTTCCAAACAGACATGGGCATAAGCGAGCGCATCACAGGAGGCCTGTTGTATCCATCGTAGGGTCGATCGCCTTACTTGGGTCATCGGTCTGCTTCAGGCTGATGACAGCGACGAAGAAAAACGTGCTTAAAAGATCGCAGTGAAGTCCACCGCTTAGAATAATTCAGGCACATTGGATAGTTAGTACAGATGATGCACTCGTCCTGGCAAGTACCCCACCTCGGGATCTGGTGACTCACGAAAGACGCACATCCTAGGAGAAAAGCTCCGTAGACTCGAAAGAGGCAGAAAAAGTAATGCTAGTTGTCGGCAAAAAGAGTGGACAGCGTTACACACGAGACTCCGGCGCAATAATACGAGATCTGACCCCAAGCATAAGGAAATGGCTTGACAGACCGGGAGGCAAAATGAATCTCTACATGGCTCACATCATAACGCGCCACGGAGGCGTATTCTAATGACTTTAACGTGGTTTCGCGGTTGAGTAGCTGCATCCACTGCCCGCTGAAAAGAGACGACGCGACCCACATGCTTCTTGCCTGTCCTCATGTAGAGCTTTAACCGTAGACGAGGTAGTGGCACGAGAATTGCAAGGTAGAAATCCATCGGCTGTGTCCCAAAAAGCCATGAAAGGATCCATAGAATACATATGCAGCACGAGTGGTTGGATAAGTGGGGCCGTAACTGTAAGAAAAGTGTTGGAGGGAAAAACCGGCTCGACCCTACCAGGCTACAGAGCCTGCTAGCAACGAAGATATTACAAGAACAAGACACAGTCCGGTTTAGTGGAAAAGCTGCGGATAAGACTCCGCTCGGGACTTAGTGCGAGGAAATAGGAGGTAAGCCGACAGTTGGATAGGCTGGCTCGCGACTAGTGGAATAATGGTAACTTATTGCCACTAGCTATTCCACTTTGAGGTAATATTAAACTAAGTTTCAAATCAAGGCCCGACAGCAAGAGGTCTAGCGTTTAGAGGGAACTCTGGTCTGCATAATTGCGTAGTGGATTGTTTCTGAATATCTTATAAAATAATTTACTTAATAATATAAATGCTATAAATACTCAGCTGATATCTGATTGCAGTTGATTAAACGAAAAAAGTTGCGATCAACGCCAAGTTCGAATATATTCACTTTTGCCCAACCTAATGAGCTAAGGTCAGTACATCTGAACGAGCACAAAGTAGTAAGTCAGAGAGAAAGAACCGGTTCCAGAGCGGAAATGAGCAAAAGAGAGCATCTCAACGATACAACAACATCTTGTGGAATGAAACATCTTCTATCTGCCGTCTTTTCTTTCTGCGGCGGAAGGGCGAATCCGTTTCTTCCTTCTTTGCCGTATTCCCTTATTAAAATTAAAAAAAAAAATTTACGCAAAACAATTTTACGAATTATATATCAACTGATTGTCACTTTACTCCAGAATGAGTATGAAAACATTTATTTGCAATCTTGTTATCAAATTATTACCCTATCCTTTAACAAGAAATTCGTTTTAATGCAGTAGGCTACAGAAGATACCTTTGTGTTTAATTTGTACAATGTGTACAAATGTACAAATTTTGAGTTAGACAGATACGCAAATATTTGTTCATATATATATATATATATATATATATATATATATATATATATATATATACATATATATATATATAGTTCACAATAAAGACGAGATTGCTCTTTAGGTGTGTACTATTATGTTATATTTATATTATGTACTATATATGTATATTGAAGTATTGGTCCATCAAGTCGAGTTGAAGTTTCAATGGTCGTTTGGCGTGGTCTCATTAACTATCTAACACACGCAGAGATGTCGTACAAACGTTGCCGTCGCATTTACATTTTATCTTTTTACACAAGTTACGCTGAGGAGAAGAGGTAGAACAGCAATAAAAATTTCAACGTATTTCTATCACAATTGATAAAGTGAAGTAAGTTAATATATTTGCAATCGTATAGCAATAGAATAAGCAAAACATCTATAGACCAGCGAAGAGTGCCAAAAATATCAGGCGACAGAAATCGATAAATGCTATGGGTACCATCAGCGAATGATACAAGCATGCAGCGGAATAGAGCGTGCTAGAACAAGCAACGACGATTATTTAATTTGTACCAAACTACGGACAAATGTGGCTAAGCCTTGGGGGCCTCGCTCCTATCATCTCAATAAATCAGCATGTTCTATTTATGTATTTTTCAATATAGTATTACAAAAATGAGCGTAGTAATACGTTCATCGAGAAAATGGAACGTATTGTTTAAAAAGAAAGGATCAGCCGTAGCTGTAACAGCAGGATTTTCAAATATATAAAACCAGCTCCAACTTCGCTTTGGCAAATTGACCCGTAAAATACATCTGCTGTGTATTACATTTTATATAGATACCATAGCATTTGTATTCATGGAGGAATTACAAGACAAGCCTAAGATTAATATCGAACTTTCATCAACTGTTAACATTAGACTTCAAAAAACAAGCTTCCGTTCACACATGACTATCTACTCAGCATTCAAAAACGAACCGAACGAGAAAAAAATAATTATATAGAAAGTGATTCTAAACCCGAAACGAATCAAACAATACAAGTACGTACGAAATACATAGGCGCCTTATGTAGCCTTTTATTACTTTCATTGTTACTGGCAGGCTAATGTCTATGTAAATAAATCAGAAAAAGAAACGCGTATGATGGAATAATTTCAAAAAAGTGCAATCCCAAAATTGGAAATGCACCTATACAATGGCTAAACAACAAAGTCGTTTCCGCTAAACTCATCGCTGTTATAGATGACTCTCTTTCGGATGATTCCAATTCCCATCCGTAAACATGAGCGTTCCTCACATTGATGTCGTTTTCGTAAAAAAATGCTTTGCGATGCCCGCAGCAGTGCTCTGTACGTCAATGGGGAACGTAGCGTAATGTTGTGGACGTGATCCAATTTATCAGGTACTGTGTAAGTGAATTCCGATTTCTAGACTTCACGCCATATGGAGTGACCGCTATGCACAGGTATTTTTCTCGATTCTATTCTTCACTAATATGTCGTAATATAGAAATATATTCAACCTGTGGTAACCGTATTTTATGTATGAGCTTGTCTGGGTGCCTGTTTTACTATCTATAAGGTTCTATTGGGGTAGGTCCTCGTCTGGCTATTTTTTTAATAATTGCGTCCACTCAAACTGAACCACCATGTGGAAGACAATTTTCCCTGGCTATAATTTCTCGCATTAGATGCTGAATTAACTGCATGTGTATCTCTTTTGAGGTATTTTCCTAGAAAATGCAATTTTAATAACACTGCGTGTTTAATTTTTTCGTAGTCATTTTATAACCAGAATTCCGAAGAATACATACATAACTGGCATATATATTCTGCAACCCAAGCTTCCCGTTGGCCCAAACGTCTACATGCCTCTTTATACTCTTCCGAGTTTTGCTATTCGGAGAGAGGGCAGCCCTTAGATTTTAGTTTCTTCTAAATTTTAACTTTCAAACTTTTCAACTGTGTAAAGAACGTAACATACATGGCGTATTTTTTTGACTGCGATGGACAGGTAGCCGGGGACGGCCAGAAATGGAAAGATCTTCTCTAATCAACCACGGTACCATTTATTAAGTAAAGTACTACTTACTAATACTAATAGCAGCCATTCATAATCTTCCAGCAGTTTTGTGCTATTTTATCGTTCAGCTGTTCTCGTTGCTGCTGACGTTTAGATGTTACACTACCATTTTATGATGGAGGATTATATAAAGATCTACCGCGTTCTCGAATTGCACCGCAGGGTGGCATTTTTTTGGCGGCTGTGAATGGCCAGTCCTAAAGGCTTATCCATCTCGCTTTCTCGCAAATGCTTTCAACACTACGCATGCTCACTAAACACTGCTTAGTTCCTTAATTCCTATTTTTTAGAAAAACTCGCCAAATATCGTTCCGTAAATAAACCGAAAGTTCGTATTGTTTTATTTTGCTTTTCTTCAGTATTAGTCACCATTTTATTCTATCTTGGTTATCGAATTATAATTTATACAATACGGTGTAAATGTATATGGTGTATGAGATACATACCGAGATGAAAGTGAAACTTCGATCAATATCAGTAAAAAATTTTGTCCGTGTTGTAACTAACTACCCTGTATCTGTTCTGAGTTGACCAGTCTTAACAAGTGTCACAACGTTGGAATCTGGGGGGCGAAGTTTTTCATTTTTCTTGGTATGAATATGATGTTTTTATTTAATTTGTTGCTTGCAGCGCTCATTGTCGTCCAAGCCAAGCCAAGCCAAAAATATTCGGAAGCAGCCTTTTCAAGGACTGTCTTTTTCAAGGAATATATAAACGTTCTTCCTTTACATA